TTTTGACTTCCCCAAAAGTTAGCTACTACTAATAGCCTACTGTTGACCTGAAGCCTTACCAATGACATAAACGGTCAACTAAACATATTTTGTATGTTATATGTATGATATACTATATTCTCACAATACGGTAAGCTAGAGGAAAGAAACTGTTACAAGAAAATCACAGGGAGGAGAAAATGTACTTACTGTTAAGTGGAAGTAGATCATCATAAAGGTCTTCATCCTCGTCATCTTCGAGTTGAGTAGGCTGAAGAGGTGGAGGAAGGGGTGGGTCTTGCTGTCCCGGGCATGGCAGACATGGAAGAAGCAGAGGAGGTGGAAGGGGAGGCAGGCACACTCGGTGTAACTTTTATTGAAAAATTTATGCATGTAAGTGGACCTGCATAGTTCAAGCCCATGTTGCAAAAGGGTCAAGTGAACTTTAACTGCATCAAAGTGGGACCCTTCAGTAGCAACTAAGGGACACTGGCTGTCTTGAACCACACGGAGAATGGACTGCAAGTTGTGATATGGTGCGTTCCCACAGCTGGCAGCGGCTAGGGGGCCGGGCTTCTAAACCGCAGCTGTCTTGCATCCAGTTGGTCACCCCAGGTCACGGTGGCCGCCACTGCCCTGGAGCTGATGCTGACTTTCCTCGTTCAATGTCCCGTCCACGCTGGCTCCCCTTTTGGCTGCAGGTCAGGCTACCAGAGTCCGTTTTCCAGTGGAACGACCCAGACCTTTGGTCCCGATGGATCTGTCCCTTTGTGTCTGCCATACAAGGCTGCAGTGGTTTCCCACGAACTGCTCTGCTAGTGCTGGTTGTAGGCTGGCCAGGCAACAGGTGACCTCAATGTCATGCACATTCCTCCTTACTCCCATTACTTAAGGGCAAGTCCCTTGAAGGTACAATGTGCTCATCCACGACCACAGTTCTGTGTGGCCAGGGGAAGGAATGTTCAGAAGTGGTGGAATGGAATAGATCTCTTCCTTGGTTGGAACCCAGGGACCCAGTTTTAGGGGCATTGTGAAATGTCCCCAATGTCGAAGTGTCTGCAGTGACAATAAGCCCAGCAGGCACTCCTTGGGCAAATTCTACCCTTTCCTGAAGCAGCTTCAGGATTTCAACAGGTGTCCTTGTGAGCCTCCTCTCCAGTGGTTCTTCCCGTGAGTGTGAGTGTCCAGGTGGAGGCTGGTGGGGCTGGTGGTGGAGCTCCCAGCTTGGCTAGCAATGACAACACCAGCACAGCTCTGGTCTCTACTGTCTTTGGGACCAAAGGAGACAGTCACACTGCACCTTCCTGAAGCCTCCTGGCCCTTTCATGTTGAACGTGTGGCCTGAATGGCCTCACGTACCTGCTTTCTTGGTTGCTCAAGTGAGCTCCGTGAAGGCAGGGATGCACAGGGTGCTCTTGCAGACTCTCTGGATGGCTCAAGTCCAATCTTCCATCGGGGAGCTATGAGCCAGGAGTCACCTGCAGGGCCGTGAGCTTGGCCTCAGCTGGGCAGTTGTATGACAAAGCCACTGAACCCCTCAGGAGAGGGCTGATAGCCTTGCATTGCTTGGAGCTGTCAGACTTTCCAGTATACCCGTGTGCCCTTTACTTGGCCCAGGCATCCTCAAACTATGGCCCGCGTGCCACATGAGGCCCGCCGAGGACATTTATCCAGCCCGAGGGTGTTTTTGCCACCGCTGCCTTTCCTGCTTAGCAGCCGACTGGTCCCGGGCCCACAGTGCGCATGTGTGGCATGTGCGCGGCACTCTCCAACGGCCCTCCGATGGTCTGAGGGACAGTGAACTGGCCCCCTGTTGAAAAAGTTTGAGGACCCCTGACTTGGCCTGTCCACAAAAGTGAATTTGACTATATAAAGGTTAAAGAGCATTAGTGTACACAATGAAATCAAATCTTAAGTAACACTGCTTCATGTCTGCACAGTTAAAATGCACATGTCATGATCTGTTGTATTTTAAGTATGTGTGTATGTGCATACATATGTATGTGTGAGTATGTTGGTGCATAGTCATGTTTTTGACATGCTAACTGCATCTTAAAGATTAAGTTGGTTATGATATTATTATTAATTGTACATGGCAGCATATTCAGAAATGCCTTCTATAATATGGAGCAAATTAAATCATATTTTTCCCCTCTTTAAGGCAGTCAGAATGGGGAAGTGACACTGAATTGGGGGACCATACGGACATATGTTAGCATCAAGCAAGCAAAGCTTTGAGTTGTGACACCACAGTCAAAATTAATGCAGAGCTGAGCAATTATAATACATCTTGAATTCAGCCCAAGTAAACTGTCAATTTGCAAATGATAATAATAATTGTTTAGAAATCTGTCTACATTTCCCGAACCGTAATAATTGTTTTCCCTCCTACTTTGAGTTATGTAGATAATTACTTCAACTCTTATTTCATTTTGCTATTGTATAGACAAAAGTTTAGGCAAGAAAAATCCCGAAACACTGAACTTCCATAATTATTGGCTCCTCAACTGCAAAAGGAATAGACTGAAGCCAAAAACTTTTTATGACTCATATGCATAAATATAAAAAGGGGTTTTATGTGGTTGTATTTATCCATTTTAATTCTCAGAAAAAATTGAGATTCCCTCATATATCTCTGCATTTTAAGTGTTCAGGCGTGTTTGGAATCATAATTCAATGCCCAGAGCCGTGTTGTTTTTACAAGCATCAGGTGAACATGCACTGCCCCCAGTACTGTGAAGCCAGAATGTAACAGAGTTTTTCCTTTTTCTTCTTCTTCTTCTTCTTTTTTTTTTTGTAATATACTGCTTGCTCCTTTAGAGCATTATTTAACTTCAAAACCAAATCTATTTTCTCTAATTGTGAATGAAACCAGTGGGTTACTATAGTTACAAAGTAAAGAGTGTTATTGAAAAGAAGAAAAAGGAAGACTAATGAAATTTTAAATGACACATTCAAAGACATGGGGAAATTGCCCAAACAGGGAACTGGGACTTATCAAGCCGCCAATCACAGTAATTACCCTGCAAACATATCAGTATCTAGGGCAGAAAGTCTTTTCAGATTTTCTTACGCCAGTTCGACAATGCCTCAACATCTGGATCCTGACAGCAAGGAGGATCCCCCTGTGGACGCCTGCTCTCCACGAGGACAGATGCACCAGGACACCCTCCGGCAGGGTAACCAGCGCACGTTCTGAGCCTTGCCTCGCGGGAGAACTTGGTGCAGCGTCCGCAGAGAATGCCTGGTGCGTGTGCATTACGTGTCTCATTGCAATGCCATGTTTCCCTCAGTGTTGGAAAGTGACTGCAGACTGATCTGTCAATGACCTTACAGTGTCATTGACATTTAAAGGAAAGTGCCATCCCCCACACAGGGTCCAAGGCATAGGTAGTGGATACGAAATACTTCACGCAACTGTAATATTGTAACATCTGTTTTTGCTAGGGGTGCATCAATAAGGAATTTGTTGAAATACAGTGTATTATACAAATATTCATATAAAATGATAAACCGAAGGGGTAAGGTAAAAAATCTTGGGCCAAACTTAAAATTTAGCTAGTGAATAAATGGAGGAAACCATGATTTGAGAATCCGTCCACTTCATGTCACTTATTAAAACAACATAAAATTAACTATGTGTTTGTTAGAGTAGGAAAAAGTATGTACCCCAAGGGCCATTATTACTCTAGATGGGGTCTGTGCAGAACTTCTAAGAAAAGAGGCCGTAGTTGGCATTTATGTGCTGAAAATAGTGTATTTTGAGCTTTTGAGAGCCATAAAATTGATTTAAAGAATGGTTTCGAAGGGTGAGAAGAGAAATGCATGACAATTAAAGACAGGCAATTAAATTGGTTTGTCTCTAACTGCCTCTTAGTAATTAAAAGTTCATGCTTGGCAAAACCCCATGAAAACAGATTTAAGGTTTAAGACAGTGTGAGTGCATGAATGCAAACCCACCCCCAAGTCCTCAAAGTGATGGCTCCAGGAGCAGAAGGCCTGGGATAAGTAGAACATGGTTTAAAAATGGTAAGTGAATGATTACTCCAGATTTAATTCTTATTTGCTACTTGGTTTATTCAGTGCTTCCTCTTTTAGTAGTATTTTATATGGTTAAGTTCCTAGAGTAGACATATCCTGTATATATAACTTATCTAGTTAAGTTCCTAGAGTTGATATATCCAGTAGATATATCCAGTATATAGCAAAACACTCAGAGAGGCATGACCTTGTGGCAGCTGAGGAAAAGAGAAGAAGGGAAGGAGAAAAAGAGAGAAAGAGAGAGAGGCAGAGAGAAGGGGGAGAGAGAGACAGAGGGAGAGAGGAAGGGAGAGACAGAGAGAGGGAGGAAGGGGGAAGGGAGAGAGAAGAGTAGAGAGAGAGATGGAGGAAGGGAGAGAGACACAAGGGAGAGACAAGAGACAGAAGCTACGAATGAATGATAGCTTGGGTTTTGGAAGAGGAAAGCATCAAAACAGCCTGATAATCTCCTTAGCTGGGATGTGGGGTTTAGGGGCGGACAATGGGGAAGGGGAGGCCTCTACAGAGAGATAAGAAACTCATAGCCGGTTTCAAAATCTCCCAGGCTTCCTGATGCCCACCCACTACTGCACCAGGAGCTGGTGTACACACCTTTCACCTTGACGCTGCCTGTTTCTCAAATCCTTCCTCTCCCACGGTGGCCGAGTCAGCCTGAGAGCCTGGTTCCCACAGTTCTAGAGCTGCGGGGTTGTGGCTAACTCATGGAAACACTCGTGCTTCATGTCAAAATCGTGTCACTGCCTTCTCCACAGCACCTGAACGGTGAGCATTTCCCACATTCCATGGGCTACCCCAAAAGCTGACCCTCCTGCATGACTGCTCTCTGAAAATGAGTCCTTACCACCTGAGTATATACCTCTTCATCATTGCCTGATTCTAACAGAATGCTTCTTATTTCCTTGTGCTAAGTCATAGTTCAAATATTAAAAATAAACACAGATATCACAAAGAGTAATAATGAAATTGACAGAGTCCTCATAGATTCTTAAAAAAGGATTTAATTAGAAAACAGTCTGAAACCAGTTTTGCATCATAGACTTTTAAGCATCTTATTCAAACCAATTTTCTTTAAGTAAAAACTTAACAGCGTCATCAAAACCACATTGATACAGGGATTCCATTTTCCTCTTGCTCGGCGGGAAGAGGGCTTGGTTGAGCCGCACCAGGTTTGCCAGGGACAGCTAGAATAGAAAGACGGGAATCTAAGCAATACGATATTACAGTGCAGGAAAGTATATGCTATTTTCATAATTGCATGTTTTATTTTAAATCATAGATACGATTAGCAGTAATAAAAAAATGAGTATGAAAAATTTAAACTTAAGAAGTTAACTCTACCCCTAGAGTAGAGGAGGGTTTCTCGGCCTTGGCACTACTGACATTTTAGGCCAGCTGCTTCCTCGTTGTGGGGCTGGCCTGTGCATTGCGACATGCTTAACGACATCCCTGGCCTCTACCCACCAGATGCCAGTAGCACCCCTGAGACGTGACAACCCAAAATGTCTGGGTACAATATCGCCCCATGTTGAGAACTATTAGACTAGATTATGGGAATCAATATTTTTATGTCAATTTTTCATTTGGGACGCTATGTCTTTCTCCAGTCTATATTTCATTACCTCTGTCTTTGCAAACAAATAAATGATTTAATTTAAAATTCTCCGATACCCTACCAAGTTTGTTAATGTAAAAAAGAAGTGAAGAGAAAGAAAATAGCACACAAATTTATTGTTCAGCAGCAGCAAAAGGACTTACTACTGACGACAGCCCATGGGAAGCCAGGTCCCCATGTGTGATACATGCTGCAAAGCGTGGAAAACACACTGTGAGATGTAACTCACACATGAAACTATCAATGAGCTCCTAGTGCTTGGGGAATGTGCTGAATTCCGTGGGAATTTTTGGTGGATTAGGACTCCTTACAAATCACTGAACACAATCACTCACCATTATGTCCTGTTTGGCGATATTAACATACAGATCCAGCTGCCCTTTGTCCTGTGGGGAGATGTCCAACCGTCCACTGAAGGGGGAGATGGTCACCGTGCGACCGACAGGCAGGATGGGAAGGCTGTTAGTGAGGCCGCCGTCCGCCCACTTCTGTGGGAGAAACACGCGGCATCGGCACGAGTCAACCACACATCCATCCCACACCAGGAGACGGAGTGGGGCTTTCTTTCCTTCTAAGAAGATCCAAGCCTGGGCTATGCTCTTAAATTACTATTTCCAAGGACTAATTCGATTGGGGATCTGTTTTGGGAGCAAAACAAATCTGTGTGCACATACCACTTACCAATATAGGAACAACTGTAGACAGAATCAGGAAATCTCTCCAAATGTTTAAAAGCTTTAATAGATTATTTTACAAAAGTTGTGGCTAAACCCTTACTGACTGCAGTGCATGTCTAAGAAGCCATGTGTAATTAGCTTGGGGATTATTATTTAACCAAAGGTCGAGTTTACTGTTGACATTGAACAAAAACACCCACCACCGGAGGAGGCTCCATTTTTATTATAAGAATTGGAAATTGGCATTTTGCGTGGCAAACTTAAAAATAAACAGAATAATCAGAAATCCTTCTAATTCCAAAGTGGCTCCCGTGCAGAGGAAGCAGGGGGGTATGTTTTAATGGGGAGTAATGCATAGAAACAAACATTATACAAAACGGATGTGGTGCTTTCCAACCCTCCCCCACAGGGCAGTGAGGGAAGGAGTGGAGCAGAGAAGCCCTCCACTCCCACAGGAGAGAAGGAAACAGGGTCTGGGGTAACGAGGAGGAATGGAGAGAAGCTCAAGGCCTGTGCAGCTTCGGTGGTGCCCCCTGTCCCCCTCCCCGGGGCCCCCCCCTCTAGGGAACCACATGCTGAGAAATGGCAGCAGAGAACCACAAAGAGGATCCCTTCTGCTATCTAGTCCAAGGCCAGCGAGTCTCAGCGCAGATAGGAGCCTATGTGTTCTCCAGACCAGCTGCAGCAAGACATACACACAGGTGCAGAAATAAAGTCCAAATTCTCCATGTAAAATATCCTCCACAAAGTGCTAAGTTTCTCTAAGAGGGGGTGTATGAAGGATTAGGAAAGAGTGGGAGACCCTGTGGCTGGCAGTGTTTTGGGGAAGGGATGGGATGAAAAATAGATAGTATCCAAAAATAAAAGTCTGGTAATGGTTGAGGATCCCTCACATAGAAATCTTTAGTGGAGAAATCTGTAAACCAAGTTTCACTTGAACATGCAAAATGCAACCTAGACAAACAAAGCTTTGCTATTCAACATGAAGGTGGAGTGAGGAAGGAGAAATAGGTCAGTATAAAAAGCCTTTGACTCAGTTAAAACAATTAATTCATTTATTTTTGAGGTGTCTCCCTTTTTTATGTCCTGCTTTCTTGGTTTTGCTTCTAAAGATTGTGACAAAATGATTGGAATCACATTATTTACAAAGGCCGTGGGCAGCCACCAACTCCTCCAAAGGGAATAAAAGTAAATAAATAAAAAACTAAAATGGGTTGAAAATTTATTTCGAGGGAACTGCATTTTGGTGGAGGAGAAAGTAGGTTGGATTAAAATAAAACTGACCTGGAAAATATGTATGTTGTCATTATTTTTAAAATAATATGACATGCATTATTACATAATTATGTGTATTATGTAGACCCATTCATATGTGTAGTACATGTACATGTGTGTATATATATATATATATACACATATATACATAAAATATAGCAGGTTATATAAATGCAATCTGAAAGGGAGGTTTACAAAAAGAAGGGCCCAAAATATCTGATTCTGCCCCAGAGCTTGCTTTTTTTTTTTTTTTTTTTCTGACTGCTTTAGGTATAAATATCAAATTCTGGAATAGGATAATACCCAGAGGGGGAAAAAAAACTGGACACCTTCCAGAATTATTTCATGTTCTCGGCAGAACCTGTCGCCAATGATGTAAAAATTCATATAAGTTTCATCAAGGAAAATTAAAGATATGTCATATAACTTTAAGTAAGAGCTCATCTGACTTATTCAACTTAATGAAAAGAAGGGCAATCTGGCTCATTAAATTGGAAAGTATTATAATTTACTACGGGGTTAATGATTGCTCTTTCAGGGAATCAGAAATCCTTTCTCCCAATTCTGTTTGCTCTTGTTGGCTTGCTCTGATTGGATAAATGGCTAGGGAACATGCATAGCTTATCAAGTGACTTGATTAAATTTGCAGTGATGTGAACTCCTCCAAAACCCACAATGCCGTAGCACCCTCAGCTCAGATATTCTGAATGTGCTACATCTTACTCCCGATTTATGCTCTCGTGAGCTGTGTCGCTCAGAACAGCCGCACATTCATTCAGGCATGCTGATTCTAGCAAAATTTCTGCAAAAAACAATCACAGCAACAAATGTTCCTCAACCTCCAAATTAAGCGTGGAAACATTTTATATCTTATGTTCTACAGATAGTTTAAAATCTTGCACGTTAAATCTTTCTGTCCCTGAATTCTCTGGCTGCTTATTGCAAGTTGTTTTTACATCCTCACCTCATAGGCAGCATTTTATTCAGTGGTAGCTAATGCTGTAAGCTTTCTACAATTTCAAAACAGTCCTAAGGAAAAAACAGCTGCTGATCCATGCCATTAGAGATTTGCCCTGTGCCTGTTAGTTCCCTTCACATAACACCACCTCCTCAAGGGAAGCAGGAGGTCAAGTGCATAAAAACTCCAGGGCAAATGTGTTTCAGAGTCAAACTGGCTGCTGACCCTACAGCGCAGCCGCTGAATCTCAAGGCTTGTCCTGCTATCCTTTCTCCAATTGCTGCCCATCTTCTAAGCACACTCGACATTGAAGTCAATGCCCAAGTCCAAGGAGATACAAATAAACAACAGAAAAGAAAATCTCATGCCCAATTGCGGGGCAGGCGTCTATTGTGGTTGTCCTCTGAAGGTCGCAGCCCTGAAAGCCAGAATTCCTGGAACCACTTCTAAAGGGACAAGGGCACCTGCCACACCAGTACAGGCAGGATGACTCACCTGTCAGTACTTTGTTAAATTCTGCTTTGTGCACTCATATACTAAGGGTATCTATTAAGAGTATGCTTTATGAAGTTAAGCAACTGTGATTACATAATTTAAGTGGAAAACCTAAAAAAAAAAAAATGAGGAGTAATCTCTGCTGAAAGAACCCATTTATTTAGTCATTCAGCAAGTATTCCATGAGCATCCAAGCCTGTGCCCAGCTGCGTGTTAGATACCTTGATGCAGGGCTTGATTTTCTTAGGGTGCATTTTGCTCAAAAAACAAAAATAAAAATTACATTGTTGAAAGAATGAGTAAGATGTTGATATCTATAATTATTATAAATACCATGGCACAGGGCCTAAAGGTTTATAAAATGATTTCTCATGGATCATCTAATTTGATCTTTATAAGAACACTATAAAGTGGGAAGGTCATACTATTAATAGTATATTCAGTTGCCTCATTTTACAGAAGATGAAATCGGGGTTTGCAGGGTTCCTTGTTGTAGGTCTGGGGTTGGTAAACCATGGACCGCCATCTGCTTCTATAAATAAAGTTTTATTGGCACACAACCAGAGACTTTTGTTGATGTGTTGCCTACGGCCGCTTTCCTTCCCTCTACAACAGCAGAGTCGAGGAGGTGTGTGGTGCTGTACTTTCAGGACCACATGCTCAAAGTACTTACTGATGAGATCAGAAAAGACATGTTTCCTTGATCCCATTAGCCAAGGGGTTTGTAAAAATCAGTTCTTTTGTTGTGAGGCCATCAATGCCTTGAGCACAGACCTGTGCTGGGCCCTCTTAGTGAGTGAGTGAATGCATGATATGTAAAACGCTTTGTATGTGCTCATTTGCGAATAAATATATATTAATACGTATAAATATATATAAAACAAATGTCATTTATTCATCCATGAATATGTGTCTGATCTCTGGAATATGCTAAATAGGTATATTTGATTATAAAATACATATGTGTTACATGGATATTGTATTTGTTTATAAAATGCACATATCTGACATGTTTTAGATATGTACTTTATTTGATTATAAAATACATATCCCTGGTACATGCTAAATGGATATTGTATTTTATTTAAAATGTATAGCTCTGGTATATGTTAAATAGATACTGTATTTGATTATAAAATATATATCTCTGGTTCTCTAGTATATGTTAAATAGATACTATATTAGATTATAAAATGCATATCTCTGGTATATGTTAAATAGACACTGTATTTGATTATAAAATGCATATCTCTGATTCTTTGGTATATGTTAAATAGATACTGTATTTGATTATAAAATGCATATCTGATATGTGTTAAATAGATACTATATTTGATTACAAAATATTAATATACATCTCTAGTATGTGTTAAACAGTTACTGCATTTGATTATAAAATGTTTATCTCTGGTATATGTTAAATACTCTTTTTGATTATAAAATACATATCTCTTGTGTGTTTTAAAAAGATACTATATTTGATTAAAAAATGCCTGTCTCCAGCATGTGTTCAACAGATACTCTATTTGATTATCAAATGCATATGTCTGGTATGTGTTACACAGACACCATTTTGACTATCGAATGCCTATGTTGGACCCACGTCCACACAGTAGAGGAGCCACCGAGGGTGGAGTGGCAAATGCTGGGAACAAATAACACGTGGACTGCGGAGGGGGTGTGCTAAGAGGCTGCCGGGCAGCACTGAGAGCTGACTTTAGCTGATGCCCATGTCTAAATTTCCCTAACAGAGCCACATCCTGCCTTAGGTGCCCGCTCTAAGTGGGGAGAGCTCTCCTCGAGGGAAATGCGTGTTAGCCCTCGGCAGTGAAGAGATCTGGTGCATGGGGCCTGGGAGGAGGCTGGGTCGTCCCCTGGGGAGGCCAGGGGCCCGGCGGAAGGAAGCACTGTCTCGGGTAGGGCAGGGATGCAGGCCCTGAGCCTTTCCCTCCCTGATTTGCAGTTCTGCTTCTAGCAGTTTATAGAAGGACTTTACTAGGTGGAAAAAAATCTTTCACTGTTTTTCTTTAAAAAAAAAAATATTTTTTAAAGACAAAAATAAGGGCATTTCTAGTGAATTATTCCCATTCATGAAATCTTGAGGATAAGGTACCACCCTTGCCTGTATTTGATTTTTCTTCATTTTAAATAGAAACAAACCCAGTTATGAGAAAAAAAAATACATAAACTGATTTGGAGCCACCACACTAAGTATAAAATTGGATCTTTCAAAAGAAACATACGAATATGGGGATTAGCTTAATCCCTCAGTGACAACCACCTTACCTGACCTTTGTATTCCACTGCCTTCAGGCCCGCATAGATGGGCACGAAACTGCTAGCTAAGAGGACCTAGGGAGAGACAGCTCGTAAGTACAGACATTAATATTCAGATAATAAATATGATCTATTATTTGCTGTAAACATTTTATTAAATGAATAAGTTCCACCTATTTCAAGTATACCACTGCACATAGTTACATAAGAGATAACATTTTTAATATCTGAAAAGACTCTAAAGAGATAGGCAAAAATCCACACTTGTTGATTTAATCAACCTCACACACATAAAAATCAGCATTTTAATTGTAGACAACCAAGTCATTGCAAAATTAAATATAAGGTAAGTCTAAATTCCTGAGTACATGCAGGTTGCAAATAAATTATTTGTAATGTTCTATCATAAACGGTAAAAATCTTATTTCCCAGAGGAACAAATCCCTCTGGTTATGACAAGGGTGGTTAATCCACCAGCTCAGAGATATTCTAATTTATGTCACTAGGATGTGCTAAGGGAACAGCACATTTTATGTTCTAGTGACGTGGTCATGATAGATAGTGGAACCTTGGCAAGTTAAGACACCAATTATACTTTATCTTCCATTTAAAAAGTCGAAAAAGATTGTCAGTTAGGATATTACCATTCCTAACAACAGAAGAAGCTGGGCTCTGGTGGCTCTCCTGAAATGTAAATGTTTTATTTCACAGTGGTTCCTAAATCACTAGCTGAAAACATACTGCCTTAGATACTGAATATTTTTTAAGCTATAATCTTTCAACTGATAAGTGAAAGACTCTATATGGCTGTTTGTTGCCAAAGATTTCAAGAGATTTTTTTTTTTTTCAACATACATTATTCAGAAATGGATTGTGGCCCAAATGCTGATTTGTAAATCATCTGTTTAGAATTATTTGGAACTCAGAAGGCATTTTGCCCTCCAAAACAATATTATAAAGGTATGATTTCTAGGTCAACTCTCGAAATCCTGTTTATTCTGAATTGAACTAAATGACGGCCCCATCAACAAACAGTGCAGCACGATTTCTACAGGAAAATCCTGAGTTGTGACCCAACCCAGCTGGAAGTGCTTCTTGCCATGTTGACGCCTGAACTATGTACACGGAACTTGGCATAACATCTTTTAGATGGTGGCTCTTCCCTGAACACATCTCCCGTTCCTATTACCAAAAAAACTCACTGAGGGAAAGGGCTCTGGGTCTCTCTGCTGGTACAGCCAGCCCTTCACTGGGCTAAGACTCTCAACAAACGAGCGCTGTGTCCCTCCCCCCTGTCTGTAGTGGGAATGAAGACATCCAAGACTCTTCCTGCACTCCCACTAGTGGATTACCCATGATGGCCGCATGCTGCGGTGGCATGCTGGATGAAAGGGGACAGGTCCTAACTGAGGCAGCTCCTACAGCATTAGGCTCCTGACAGGTGGCCAAAGCAGCTTTGGGGTCTCAGATTTTAGCAGTGGCAGATTCAAGGGTGACAGCACCACACGAGGACAGGAAAGAAGATAGGAAATAGCCATGTGTTAAAGGGTTCTGTTGTACCAGGCTGGTCCTAGGTGCCAGAGCCAGCTCCATAATTTCTGGGCCCTGTGCAAAATACAAATGCAGGGCCCCTTGTTCAGAAAGTATTAAGAATTTCAAGATGCTGACAGTAGAGCATTAAACCAACCATAATGCCCTTTCGCTAGTGGGGCCCTGTGCAAGTGCAACATGGCACACCCTTGAAGTAGACCCTGCTGCACACCCTCGACCAGAATGTCCAATTTAATTCTCTTACAACTGCTTCTCAAAAAGATGGAGCTGCTTGCTCAAGTGTGTCTCCACTAGTAAGTGGCTCAGACTGCACCTGGACCCACGTTCATCTTAATATGAAATATATGGGCACGTGTATTTTTACCAAGGCCAACACACACAAGTCAGATTTCTTACATTTGGTCCTTTTCCCGCCTTTTGGCCAATTTTATGCACATCTATCCCAATTACTTGTTTATCGAAATATTGAAAGCACGCTAATTGCAGCACTGTTTCCCAGAGGAAAGCAGCCACTTTTATTTTTTTATGTATTTATTTATTTATCGCAAGGTACAATAACAACCTCACATACGATTTGTCAACCTTCTACAAAGAGTCAATGCACACGCCTGCACCAAAGCATTCACCGCTGAACCTCAGCTTGGAACATGCCGCAAAATGCAAGAGCACGACGTGGCATCAACCATGCTCACTCCACAAAGAGGCAGAGCAGCAGTGAGTGGCTGGCACCTTAGGTGATTTGTTGAAGATCACTTAACAAATTGATAGCAGAGAGGGGACAGAAAGCAAGCATCTTCAGTCCCAACCCGCTCAGCGCACTGGGAACAATGACATCATAAGCAGTTGGGCCGTTTTCAGAGAAAGGTTGTTTACAGTTAAGGTAATTGCATTTACCCTAACCAGATCTGACCCTCTCATCAATTGGCTACTCCTTTAAAAAAATAATCACAGACCCTAGGTATGTTTTGCAAGCACGATGTAGCTATTTAATGAAGTTATTCAGCAAATGCACCATTGCACCATAGCAATAACTGGAACAATTTGTGGACAGTGCACATATTGTAAAATTACAGTACTTAGAGGTCTTTAAAGGACCAAAGGCACTCTATAAATATAGTGATTTATTTGATTATGCTACAGAAACATATGTAGCCTGCAAAAAAATCACCACCCTTAGAACTAGAATGATGTTTTTTTCCTTCTCCCCCTGTGTCAAAGTATAATGCAGAGTTCACAAGTTAATGCTTGGAACTGTTTTGAAGTATAGAGATGAAAAATGCTATCCAATTACTTTCCTACAGATAATAACAGTAAAAATCCTCTTGAACGATATGAAAAGTGCAGCGAGCTGGAAAATACCTGTCACTCCTCCAAATCAATGTATTTGTTCTTGTCTTAGCTTATTCTCCCTTCATAGGGACTGATGATTTGTGTATCAAACTAAGTTTAGCGGGAAAATTAGCTTTAGATAGTTAAGAACTAAGCGGCTTTTCTTATTCGTAGTCAGCTTACCGCCATTTTATTGCAGGCAAATAGGATTTTCTAAGAAAGGAGATAAGGATTGACATTCTGAGGTCACTTAATGAAATATTACGTCTAAACATGTGCTTTTCATGCATCTGAAAAGTGTTCTCCATGACACTTACTTCACCAACAATCTCAACACAGTTATAGCAGTGGCTCTCAGCTGGCGGTGATTTTACACCCAGGGACACTTTGCAATCTACTGGACAGAGGCCAGAGATGCTGCTAAACTTCCTGAAAAGCACAGAACAGCCCTCACAACAAAGATTTAATGGGGCCCAAATGTTGGTAGTGCAGTGGCCATGGTTGAGAATGCTGATGTAGACAGCAGGCACCTACTTCTCACGTCCCATCACTTGATACAGTGCTTCAAACATTATACATATGCAAATACATTGATCTGACTTTTGTTTTATTCTTACTAAATCCACAGTGATAACAGTGAAAATGAGTGACTTCCTGTAACCACAGTATAAAACATTGCCTAGTGTAATATTCAATACACATTCTCACTGGCTGTCTTCATTTTGCACTTTATAGAAAAGAGGTGTTTAGAAAATTATGTGGCCTAACTTCCTTAGAGAGTAAATTCTCAACAGGTTTCATCTATGCCTAAAGTTTACTGTGGACTTTAATGAGAATCTAACTGGTTATACAGAACTTACTGGCATGGTTGAAATTCAAAGAGAGATTCAAATTCTATTCCCCAGTTTTGCCAAGATAATGATCCATCTTAAATGCAGTCTCTATTTCACCTTCTCAAGGCTAAGTGTGATAAGAGCTTGCTGCAAGAGCATGCTCTTTGTGTGCAAGAACATTCAGGACATTGTAGCAATGGAGACAGTGTAGTTCCTCCCAAGAGAGCCAGAGATACCATTGTGTGTGAAAGTCTTCCCGGGAATCTGTATCAAAAAGCATTTACACGTGTCAAAAGACTGTTTCAGAACACACACGTGCATCTGCTTTAAACATGAAGATTCAATGATTTGTACCAATTCAGGGCAGTAGTGGAACTCCATGGCACCATGGCATTGTTAACTAAAAAGTCATTTCTCCCTAGCCTTGGAAGTAGCATATGACTTTCTGTTAAAGAAAGGACTTACTTCCCTAGTTCTGCTTTGCTGATGGCTAGTATTAAAATGTGTTTGGATTTCCTGGTTGCATATATGCTTCTAAAGAAAAACAGCCCAGAATAAAATCTGCAACTTAAAACGAATGAGTTGGTATGTGCACTGTACGCACCTGGACATTCAGAGGATGATGAGTAGAGAGGCTCACCAGGCGAGGGAGCACCACGGAACCACACGAAAGAAGGGAGGGTGTACAGAGATAGACGACAGGAGACTGGAGGCCCCGAAGGGCACCGCGTACACCTGCTAAGTACGTACGTGAGGGGCAGATGTTCACACATACTTCATCTGACCTTCAGAAGAGGCTGAGAGTGGCCAAGGAGCCCACAGTCCACCAATGGCAAGTGTCAGCCAGGTGTGCAAGGCCACTCCGTGATTCTTTCCCACTCCCAAACCATTACTGTATTTGCAAAACTGATCTCAGCTCAGTGTTGATCCTCTGAAGACAAGTGGCCCCCCAGTGTAAAGGATCAGTGGATTCGATCCTCTGGAGGAACATTTTTTCTAGGCATGGCACCCAAAACAAGTCTTGGATTGATGGGAAATAAAGACAAGATATTTGGAGGAGGGACTCTCATGGCTCTGGTTGAACTCTGTAAAGGGATCTCCCTTCTCAGGCCACTTCAAAGCTATGTGATAGCGTATGTCACATGTGCCTTGGTGTAGTCGCTGTTGGTAAGGAGGGGAATGTTTGGCACCAGTAAATTCCAGACAAAAGAATGCCCGAAGGCCACGCATCTGTCTTGTAATAGTGCATAAAGTGGGAAAGACTGAGTTAAATTATCATGGACATAAGAGTCCGAATTCTATGGAAACCCAATCCCAAACAAAAGGAATCTTTGGACCACATAATTAGTTAGCAGGGGTTCTCAGATAATAATCAACTAACATTTCAGCTATCAAATGAAAGAAAAAAATTTCATTTCACTAAAAGTGAAGTTAATTAACACAATTTAAGTAAGGGTCATCATGCAAAATCATTTTTAAGAAAAGGCCTATAGTGAAGAGCTAGCCATATAATCAAATGCCCAAAGGTGGCAAAAACTCAGGAGCAATCCATTTCCTGAACTATTATAGATATAGGTTAGCACATTGTTCCATGAAGAACAAAGATGATAAATAAAGAGTTAGGTAATAAAATTGGTAAGAAAGGGTAAGTGCTACTCGGCCCGAAGAAAAGAAAGCTGTGATTAACATGGCTTTAAAATTTCAAGACAGATTTGTACAGGGGTGCTGAGCAGCAGTGTGTGTGGGTTATTACCTTATTTGTTCATTATTTATGAAATATTGGCTTTAATCAACATGCATAGGGCTTTACCATTTATAACACACTTTCTCATGCTTTATTTTATTTATGCTCCACTATAACACTAGTTACTGCGTTAATGACTCCATTTCACAGATGAGAAAATGGAGGCTCAAAAATAATTAGTCTAAGAGGACAATATAGGGAAATGATAAACCTAGACATGATCACCAGGAAACATATAAAACAAAGAATCATCTCAGAGAGCGTTACAAAAGACCTCCTCAAAAGTACAGACACACACACACACACACTCACACACACACACACTCTTACTTTAAGCTACAGGCTTCCAGTTGGATTTCGGGTATACAGGCACTGTGTCCGTAATAAAGGGCAGCAGTCAGCTGGTGAATTATGGAAAGCCTGGCGTTAAAAAATAACTCAAGTAGTAAGTATCAGAATAAATGAGTTAATGATAAAAACGGATAGAAAACACAACATGGAACAAGACTTCATGGAGGTGAAAATCACCAGTATTTAGTACTCTCCCATATTCCTTTACTCTACCTTGAGTGTTAATCAATCTCACCCCCACCCCCACCTACAGAAGTTCCAGATCGTGGAAAGCGGACTCAACACTGCATGTTCAGAGACAGGCATGAAAAGCCCTGGGAGCCCTCGTGTTCTAAGTCACTGGGCTGCTTCAACTCCTGGCTTTGGGGACCCCACCTAGGGGAGTGACACTGACTTCAGGTGACTTCCTGCCCCACCCACCACCCCAACTAATAAGGTCAGAACAACATCTGCACATGGCAGCACCTCAGGCAACATTCTTGGTCTCTCATTCCTAGTCTTCACCCATCCTGACTCTTTCCCACTAAATCCTTCATGAGTTTTCCACACATAGATTTCATACAGTTTGGTAGTCACCATCTGCTTCCAAGGAACTATATTCATCCTTCCTTCTTTTTAGTTCTGAGAAAGGTTAAAGCATCCTGCTAAACATTCCGACTGTTTCTTGTGTAACCTAGAATAAGTGTTAGTTATTCAATATTCTCCTTACAAGGTATTACGCATTTGTGTCAACTGTTCCTCTTCCGTTCAATGAACTCAAGTAATTATACCAATTCTCTGAGTAGTTATTATCCAAAACAAAGGAAATGGAAAAACGCCATGTTTACAATTGCTGTTACAACAAATTACTTCACATTTAACAGCTTAAAACAAGACAAATTTATCACCATACAGTCTGAAGGTCAGAAGTGTGGTACGGGTCTCACCAGGGCAAAATCAAGCTGTTGGCACGGCTGCCTTTCTTTCTGGAGGAGAATCTGTTTCCTTTCTCATCCAGGTATTAGAAGGATTCAGTTCCATATGGCTGCAGGGCTGAAGTCCCCTCTCCTTGCTGCCTGTCAGTGGGGAGCTACTTTCCTAGAAGCCTCTGTGTTCTCTAGGAATGGGGGTTCCTACATCTCAGAACCAGCAATGATGCATAAGTCCAGGAAAGGTCTCCATATTTAAGGATTCTCGTGCTTAGTTTGGGTCCACCTGGATAATCCCAAATCATCTCTCCACTTCAATATCTTTAACTTAATCACACCCACAAAATCCCTTTTGCCATGTAAGGTTACATCTTGACAAGCCCCGGGGATGAGGGTATGGGCATCTTTGAGGGCCATGCGTCTGTCTTCCTCACTCCCACATAAAAGGGATAGAGAGGATAACCATTTATTTTATCCCTTGTGGGGTGTAGACAGAGCAGGATGCTAGAGATGTGGACCAAGGCCCGAGCTGGTCCCCAATAAGCTATGTTATTTTGCCTAGGTCATTGAGTAGGGAGATCTCAGCTTCTCTGTTCTTTTGTTTTAAAGCAGGCCATTGTGACAGCTGCCACCTTGGTTCCCATGCATTTGTTTCACACACTGGTGGAGCGCCCCACTGTGGCTGGCTGTGTGTCAGGTGCTGGGCGGCACCAGAGGCAAACAGGAATCTCTGACTCTTGGAGTTCACATTCTAGTGAAGGAAGATAGACCACAAAAGCTAAATGAAAAAGCAGTAAAATGGGTCGTACGCTGAACAGTGACATGTAAATCAGGATGGGCTATGGGAAGATCTAGGGCTCAGAGTTCTGCCATTGTAGATAGAGCAGCCAGGGACAGGCTCCGTGGAAGGGGCGCACTGAGGGAGGAAGTCCCCTCTTGTTTTATCTTTTATTTATACTTTTTTCTTCTTCTTCTTTTTTTTTTTTGTTCAGTCTCCATAGAGACTGTCAAAAATTGCCAATGCCGACTATATTTCAAGTCGTCATGGCGGGATATTGGGAAAAGTTTTCAATTAGCAATAATCACACCTCAGATAAACCTCACTGGCTATGATACTGCCAGTGTGCAAAGCTGAGCCCCTCTTGTTTTATGACACAAGTGTTTTAGGTAAACCAGAAGAGATATGCCCCCATCCCCCCTGCAAGCCTGATCTGTCTGAACTGGACATTGACAACTTGTGACCATTCAGGGATGGGTTGACCAGCTCTCCCCTTTATATTGTCAAGTTTCCATAATATCATAATAAGATTATAGAAATATACCTTTTTCTAAGGTAGAAAGACTATTAATTTATAAGTGAGAGACTGGCATAAAAGGTACATTGAGTAAAAATATTCTAATCTATTAAGTAGCAAAGTAATTTTACTAGTCAATTCAACATTTCATTAAGTGCTTCAAATCACAGCACGTGAATGTAGTAAAAAGCAATGCATTTATCATCTAATTCAGGTGGAACTTTTACCACTCATTCTCAACCCATTACCTGCTGCTGGATCAAAACATACATTCTCCATATTACCTGAAGCTTGCTGTGATTTGCACAAAAAATAAAGAAAAGATTGCCCAGATTTTCTAAGAAAAGAGCACCCTTTCCAATGTACAAATATTGAATGCATTACCTTAATAAGTGCATTGTTATTTGGAAATCAATCAGGTGAAGGATTTCTCAGAGATAATGAATTCTCCACCAAACAACTTTCAAATGTGCTTGGATAGAAAGGCATAGAAACAAAGTGGAAGGAACAAAACGGAACATCACACTGAGAAGTTCAGAGACCTGGGTCCTAGAACTGGTTCCCACTGGCATGCAGAATAACCTTGGGTATGTGCGTACGCCCATCACATAAAATATTCCCACCCATTTCTTTTTTGTTAAAGACATAAAAGTGCCATAATAACACCAGCCCTACCCGCTTTACAGGACTGTTGAAGGATTAAGAATACATGTAAAAAGTCTTACATAAATGGCAAAGTATTAGCTACCTACATTTAAGGAACTATTGTTGCTACTAAACTGCATCAGTGACTTGCTTCACCTAAAAAATGTTAAGGGTCTGAATGTCAGTAGGAAAACACTGAACAAGTCCAGGTGGCCTCTGGGTCACAGTCTGGAGGTGACCTTGGGAGGGATCCTGGTGGATGCATTCATCAGACACATAATGCATCGAACATCTACCATCTACCAGGCGGTCGCGATGTGAGACAGAGGATCTAAAGAAGGTGCTAATGCTCATTATTTGCATGAAGCATTTAAATCAACACTTGCATATTTCCTCAGACAGAAGCACAGCTTTGTTACCTTAATGAGGTCTTCTCTGGAGGAAAAATTTGAAACTAAGTAATTTTCTCTGGTTTTAGTGTTGGTGATGGATACGTGCAGTCGGTTCTGGGCCAGCTCGTGAGCGTTGGAAGGAAGAATCGACTCCACTCCGCTTCTGAAGAAGAAAAAGTGATCCACATTATTCACCTTTAATTATTGAACGCCCTGTAAATATTTTAGGAGAGAGAATGCTGAGCTTGCCACAGTTTGTACAGAGTCTCGTCAACACTCTGTCTTCATGTACTTGGGGGCGAAATGTACTATATACATATATATATATACACACACACACACACACACATACCTCAATCGGGCCATGAAGTCATAACCGGGTGTTACTGCCCCGAAAGACTGCCTTCTAATTTCTTCGGCAAACTTGTAGGCAAATTGGTTACATTCCTGAAAAAGAATATCAGTAAGTGACCCTATGTATTGTCAGAAAAACTTCACTACAGTTCCAAAAGTCTGTGCCAATCACACAATGCATTGGATTCTATATCCCCAACCCCAGACTGCGTGAGTCACGCTCTGTCACAGGTGTGCAAATCCCCAAGCTGGCCCGGGTCTCACCCACCATTCTTAGGCCCTCAGCAAGTTACATGTTCTCACAATCCTAATTCTGTTTTCTTTTTAAACCTCCTTAAATGGCCTTTGCCTACATCTGAAAAAAATCCTTGAAGGCTTGATTTGAATTCTGATTTAGCACATTCTTCAGTGAATTTCCTCAACACAATTAACCTCCTCTCCCACCCCAATTCTGTGGCCTCAGAAGCAGTTTGATGCCAATACTCTAACAGAACTGATTACCAATGGCAACGCCAATGACAGAAACAGGAGTTGTGATGTCTGTGGTTGGCAAGTACTGAATCAGAGTCTTTGGAGATTAGTGTTGGCCACTGGTATTTTACAGAACTCCCCAAGGGGTTGCTTCTGTGCACCTACACAGGCTACCTCTGTCAGTTCATCTTCAAAAAACTCTGCAAGGCAGGTATAACCACCCCATTTGGCAGATAAGAAAACTGAGGCTTGGAGAGATTAAATGTCTGTCCCAATAACCCATCAAAAATAAGTGTCAGAATTTGAACCCAGGTCTAGTCTTTTATTAATTAATTCATTAATTCAACAACTGGTGAATTAATTAATTCATTAATTAAACCAGGTGATGGGCACTGGACTAACCACTGAGATTTGGGGCAGAAACATCCAGAGGACCTGTGCTCATGAGACTCAAGGGAGTGAAAGATCCAGGGTACCTGTGCTTGTTGAGACTCAGGAGCGCCTCCAAGAGTGGCTCACAGAGCACTACGAGCACACCTGTGAGGGTGTGGTAGTCAGAATCCAGGCCTCTCCTTTCCCCCAAAGATGTTCACATTTTAGTCCCTGCAACCTGTGACTACGAGAACTTCCATGGCAAAAGGGACTTTGCAGATGCAGTTCGGTTCAGGATCTTGAGATGGGGAGGGGATCCTGGATTACGCAGGTCCAGTGTCATTACAAGGGTTCTTATAAGGGAAGGGGGAGGGTCAGAGTTAGAGAGATTTGAAGACTGTTTTCATGGCTCTAAAGACAAAGGAAATGGCCAGGAGCCAAGGCATGTGGGCAGCCTCTAGAAACTGGAAAGGCGAGGACAAAATTCTCCCCCCAACCTCTGGAGGGAGTGAGGGTAGCCCTGCTGACATTTTGATTTTAGCCCAGTGAGACCCTTTCAGACTTATGACCTCCGGAACTGTAAGATAAAAACTGCCTGTTGTTGGAAGCCACTAACTTGGTAATTTGTCACAGCAGCAACAGGAAATGAATACAGTGGGTGTGAGCTTCCAACCTCAGGGTTTGCCAAAGGTTTCTTCTGCAATTTAACATCTGTGCTGGGACCTTAAATATGAGGAGGACTTGGATAGGGGATGGAGGTGTAAGAGGATGATAGTAGAAACAGCAGCAAGAACAACTCAGAGAGGGGCACAGAGCTGAATGTGTCATCCATCCTGGCAAGCCACCAGTAGGCCTTGTGAGGCAGATGTGCTGAGAAACCCCAGACCATGCGATGCTAAGACCATAGGTGGGGTGGGGAATGAGAGAATCAGATTTGCATTTGAATAATGTCGTGATTAAGTGCTGCTGGGGGACACAGGCCCCTCTCTCAGGAAGCTGCTGGAGCTTTTAGGTGAGAAATGAGGGTGGTCCCCCAATCATGTGCTTTTTCCTATGCTGGACTGTCTACCTGGCTTATTTCCTTGCATTAATTTTAGTTACCCACACACACATATCCCTGACCAGACAGTAAACTCATCAAGGAATGAACAGATTCACTTTTGAGTACCCCACCATGCCTTCCTTGCAAATTGTGAGAGCTGAGGAAAGGCCTGCAGCATTGAGCTCTTCCATACCCGTGTCTAAATTTGCCTACCACCTAAAATATGCCCAGCATCAGGTGTTCCTCTTAATTATACATGCATCAGCTCAGAACAAGATTAATTACGCACATATTTGTCACAACAGTGGAAAGCTCGAGGAACTTACACCATCAGTGAGAACTGAGCTAACAGGAATTTGAGTAGGTAGAAAAATTTGCTAAAAAAACCCCTCAAAGCAATCCTACAAATGGATTATTTCAAATGCTCAAAAGCAAAGAAATAAAATAACCTTAAGTCAAAAGGTGATTTTGGGCCGGGCGTGGTGGCTCACGCCTATAATCCTAGCACTCTGGGAGGCCGAGGTGGCCGGATTGCTCGAGGTCAGGAGTTCGAGACCAGCCTGAGCAAGAGCGAGACTCCGTCTCTACTATAAATAGAAAGAAATTAATTGGCCAACTAATATATATAGAAAAAACTAGCCGGGCATGGTGGCGCATGCCTGTAGTCCCAGCTACTTGGGAGGCTGAGGCAGGAGGATCCCTTGAGCCCAGGAGTCTGAGGTTGCTGTGAGCGAGGCTGACGCCACGGCACTCACTCTAGCCTGGGCAACAAAGCGAGACTCTGTCTCAAAAAACAAACAAACAAACAAACAAAAAAGGTGATTTTGGCTGAAAAAGGAAAAATGAGGATGCCCTAAGTAAACAAAAAGAACCATTTTCTACTCTCCCTTGGGAGGACCCGATACTTAACCTTTTCATCACACTGACACGATCAGACAACACAACCGAGTCTCTAATTTAGTGGAAAAAATAACAGGTGACTTGAAAATATGATGATATCAGGTAACAAATTTAGGTGAATTATTCAGTGACTTAATATCACAGAATTTCAGTTAAGTAAGTGGCTGTATTATTGCAGTATTTCTAAATCATGTTAGTTCTAAATTGCACAAGACATTTCTACATTTGCTGAGAGCTGGAAACTAAGTCTATCCAACTCCAAAGCTCAGGATTTGCCCCAACTAAAGGCTGCACTAAAGAGGTGGAAGTACCCTCTTAGAAGCCTGCTGCTTCAGAAAGGAAACAGAATTCTGAGAAGGAGCTATACTGCAACTCACAGCATATGATTCTGCTAGTTTGGTGGGAGTTTTCACACCTTATTTATACTTTTCCTGATTTAAGGTTCTCATCCTGTGTAATCTCTACAGTTTTTAATGATTTCTCTAGGTCTCTGTAAATCAACCATGTAAAGATAGGAAGTAAAGATAAGAAGCTTTCTGAATAATTGGCCTCAATTCCAGCTTCTCTTTGATAAGGAGCTCACAATAGAGTTGAGAAAGAGATTTGGATGTTTAAAATTTTGTAGTTTTGAAATTTTAAATGGGACTGAAATTTATTCTTGGGCATGAATGTGTTAAATTATTATTTTATTATTGCTCAAAGCTGCTAGAGATATAAGTAATTAACAAATATATTATTTCCCATATAAAGAAACCAGCTCTCACAGTCAGTGAATGATTGATCACCATCCAGATAGCAGAAAACAGATTTTCAAAACATAGATTGCATTGAATAAAATACATAATGAAGGCTTATTTGTACTACTCTGGATAAACTGCTTAGAACTCAGAGCTTCCTTTTACTGTGAGAATTAAAAACAAATTAAATTCCCATACCATTCCACTTAATAGAAATTGTGTGCCCACATTTTAAATTATATGTCTATTTGTAAACAGCAGTGAACAGAGAGTAGTTGGCCGCATGTTCAAGGCCTTGAAAACAGGCTACAGACTTTTTTCATGATCACAGAAAGAAGAAATATCCTTTGCTTTAAAGAAACAGTGCTGGAATCTTAAGCAGAAATAAAAACTCAAGAGTGAAATAAGGCATTTTATTTTATTTCACTGAAATCTGAAATAATCTTTTCCAAAGCCAAAGCACAGATCCCCAGTTGATTAAATTTTAAAAGTCTTAACCTTTTCTGTTTTTCAGACAAAGGATTATTTCTCTGCAGGGTTGATTTAGTAAAGTTAACACTCATTTTTGCTACTTGGCCTTAATTTCTTGATGAGAAATGCAGCCTATTTACTACTTAATTACCTCTATTTTCTCGGGTGCTGTTAGGAGGACAGAAGCAACCAAGGATCCGGCAGAAGCCCCTGCAAAGGCCTTGACATCCTTCATGAGCCTTTTGCCATGTCTGCAAAGTGCTGCTGCTGCCCCCAAGTGGTAAACGCCCAGAAACCCACACGCTGCAAACGACAAGTTGATGTGCTTCATTCTAGCTGCGGAATAAACAATACAAAAAACAAAAATGCTGTAAGTTGGTATAGTTTATTCCACATACTGTGTAGTCTTATGCTGATCATTGTTCCAAGGTTTTCTTCAAATGTATCATTCTGTGTTAAGCACAGTTGTTTAAATCAACTTTAGTTAAACACAGGTATCTTTCAAAACAAACTTTTTTCCCTTTTCACCTTGACCCAGTAGTTTTACAAAATATTTAAATTAAACATTCTACATTTGTTCAGTACATAGATTATGCAATTTACTATTTAATTACTTGGCAAAAGACAGTAATGTATAAATTTCAATCGGGAAGGACTTTTTTCTTGAGCTTTTGAAACTTTTTTGCAGAAGCGGGGGGGGGGCACTACTATTGTGGAAAGAGAAAATTACAACTATTAGAGACTCTATCAAATCCCAAATGAACAATTCATTTGCTCTTTTTAAAAGCACCATTAAATTTCAAATATAGGTCCCTGCTCCTCTCCCCCATTTCTTTTGCACATCCATATTTTTTTGGTAACACTAATTACTCAATTAGTAACACTAATTACTAAGTAACACTATTGAGTAACACTAATTACTCAATAATGCAATAAAGCAATTATTCAACAAGGCTATACATCTCATTGCCAAGTATTTCAAGACAAACAGAGGTCGTGAGTGGTAAAGGCAATTGAAGACTCCACGAAATGCCAGGCACACCACTTTATACTGGCAACACATCTAAATACAAAACTGTATGTTTTCCAATGTCTCAGCTGGCACGATTTGCTCAGGTGATAAGGCTGCCCACTCGGAGGTCCTGAGGGTTTCCGAGGGAACCTAAAGGCCCCATTTAGGGGCCCTGAGACCAGGCACATGGCCCCGACCTAGAATTCAGGGACCGGAGGCCTTTGTTCCTGATGCAGCGGCCGGGCGCTGTGCGGGGAGGCGGCTCAGCCGCGCCGGTGTTCACTAGGAGACAGTCCTGGCCACCGCTCCCGGCGAGCCCAGGTTTTGACGGGGCAGGGAAGGGATTGGGTGCTTAGTTGCCAGGCGGCCACGCCCAGCCCGCGCAGGGCCTGTACCCTCCGGCAGCTCTGGGGGCGGCGAGGCCGGGTCTGCCGCCGCATCAGACCCGCGACAGCACACCTGGACCCGCCAGCCTCTCGCTTGGCCGCAGAGCTCCGTCATTACCAGCGCAGGCCTGAAGCACTTCCGTGTTGAACGGTCCCCTTAACCAGGAGGCGGGGCCGGACTATCACTCAACGCGGCTCCGCCTATCAGGGCTGGGCTTACAATCGCTGTGAGCCTGCCCAGGAAGGTCCAGCGGAAGGGGTTGGTGCCAACTCCCCGCGCGGGTTTGTGACGTCACGGCGCCGACGCCTGCCAGCCTGCATCAGCCCCACCTGCTTTAATTAAATTGCTGGAGTCAACATGGCGGCGTCCGCTGGGACAGTAGGCCGCTTACCGGAGTATTCACGAGCGCGGGCAAGACTTTCTCGTCTAGAGTCATGCTATTTATTAATCTCCGTGTACCTTTTAGCGCGACCTGCTGTCCTGGCCCTCACTTCAAAGCCTGCTGACCTTTAATGACCCTCATCTACAGTGCTCCGGAAGTGCCCGTCCCTCTTCGGGTCTGTCTCCCGGAAGCGGTTCCTTTCCCTCGCCGCGCTCGCGCCCGCGCCCGCCTGGGCGGTCCAATTACCCTGAAGGGCGGAGTCTAGGGGCTAGGCGGGGTCACCCCTCACCGGTACCCTCTCTCTACCCGCGGCCGGTTTTCAAAGCTTTTCTTTGTTTTTTTTTTTTTTTTCCTAAGTGCTATTGGAGCGGTTGGACTATGACTTCGGGCAACGTTCACATCCTCAGTTGGCTAGGCTGTGTGACCTTGGGCAGGCTGCATAACCTCTGTCAGCTTTCCGGGTGGCTCCTCTGCAGAATAAGATGATAGAATACGAGTTGATGGAAAATTGGAAATCTCCTGCCACATGGGGGTCCCCAAGCAGATAGTGGTTGCGTTCTCTGGCAACAAGGCTCGGTCAGACTAAAGAAGCAGCTCTGATGGTGGCCCAGGTGCCTGACATCCCCACCCAGATTTAAAGGGTCGTCAATTCTTTCTTTCCCCAAACAATGTCTTCCCTGTCTAAGCCCAATAAGTCAGCCTGGAGGAATGTCGAGCTTCTTGATTGAATGTTCTCCAGGTCTCCTTGTTTAAGGACAGAGATTTACTCTCACAGAAGCTACAAAAAAGAGTCTGGGAGATGCGAGATTGCCTCTATCTTAGCAAAACAGGGAGGAGGAGTGGAGGTCTCCAAATTGGCTCTGTCTTGGGCTTTTTCTTTCTTCCCCTTTTTGAGGTCTCACCTCTGGTCCAGTACATCTTCTGAGTCCTTAATGGGATGACTAAGGAAAAGATTTTGCTTTTAATAAACATAAATAATCTTCCAAGACATCTGATCCTGAAGATGCCCTAATGCATGAACAGAGCATAACTATTAATACATTACTCAGAATTCTTTCCTTTCATCAGACTTTAGTTGAAGGGAAGGCAAAGCCTACGTCGGGGAAGTACAGAAGGGCACTCTTCAGTCCTTCAGCCTTCTGTTGTCCTGCAACTCTTTGTGGCTTAGTGTGATTCTTCCCAGAGCAGCACCCTCCAGGAAGCTTATGAGAAAGGAAGAATCCCAGTCCCCATCTCAGATCTCCTGCATCAGAATCTGCATTTCAATAGAATCTGCAGGGATTGCTGTGGACCTTAAAGTGTGGAGCACCAGTCTAACTCCTGTGGTGGTGTTATGGTCTGAATGTTTGCATACCTCCAACATTCACATGTGGAAATCCTAACCCCCCAGTGATGGTCTTAGGAGATGGGGCCTTTGGGAAGCAATTAAGTCATGGAGGAGCCTCATGAATGGGATTAGCGCTTTTAGAAAAGAGCCCCCCAGAAAGCCCTCTTTCCACCATGTAAGGAAACAGTTACAAAGAGAAGATGGCAATCTGCAACCTGGAAGAGGGCCCTCACCAGAATCTGACCCTGCTGTCACCCTAATCTCAGGCTCCCATCTTCCAGAACTGTGAGAAGTAAATTTCTATTTTTTATAAACCACCTAGTCTATGGCACCTTGTTGCCGCAGCCTGAATGGACAAAGACAGGTGGTCTGGTTTAAAGTGATGTGGTGGCATCAGAAGTTTAAGGAGAGACTAGAACCACAGAACCAGAATCTGGGGTCATATGATGAGAGCAAGTATTTCCTCTGCATTTGGACACTGTCACCAGGTTGATTTAGAAGACAGATAGAAAAAAGATAAAAACTTAATCACAGGGCGGCCTGGATGAACACCACAACTTTGAGATCCTTCCCTCAAAGGAAAGAAAAAGGCACCTGTTATTTCTACACGGGGCTGGCAGAGAGAGATTCTACTAAATGTAAGTCTCATTGGAGCACCAAAGTGTTCCATAATTTAACTCCTAAAATTTTAAACTTGCTTCCTTCTTACTACCTTTTACCTCATATCATATTTCCATGGAACTAGTTGAAAAATTCAGCTTCCTAATGTAAGGAAGAATATCACATTCATTTACATTTGTCTTTGTCATTTCAGTGCCCAGCATAACATTTGGCATGTAGTATATGATCAATAAATATTTGTTTTGGATGTTGGATTTAAGTAAATTACCATTGCAATCTGAATATATAGTAATTTAATTGCCCTTTAAAAACATTTTCCAGTAATTAATTTGCTTTTTTTGATTTTTTATTTTCTGTAGTGATTTAATTTTGAATTGGTTTATTTATTCAGCTATTTATCATATAATTATTAAGCATCTGTGGTATAGCAAGTGTTGAGCTGGTACAGCACATACGAAGTTGACAGTTTAGCCCTTATCATCAGGTATGCGGAGTCCAGTGGGTGGGGAGACACCTGACATGTACTCACAGAATTGTAATGATGTGCTATTGCAAAGCCACACTTAGGTGCCCTGAATGTGCAAACTGAGCTAGAGAATAGGAAACCCTGAGCTCTGGGAGGCACTTACAATAGCACCCAGCACATAAACAAAGTGTTGAAACCTGATGGCTCCTTTTCTTGTCTCAGGCTCCCTCCCACAGATTGTATCCTGTGTTCCGTCCCATAAGGCGGGAGAAAGGTACATGGATAAGGGATGCATGCCCACACCTCTGCTCTAGGAACAAGACTTTATCTCAAAGTCTTTGTGTCTAATCTCTTCTTCCAGTCTACTCTCCTTGTAGTGTTATTTCATTTCCCAATCTTGGCATCTTATCACCTCTTGTCCGGTATGCCATCATTGCCTCTTCAATACCCTATCCTCCCTCCTGCTTGCTGACTCCTCCCAGAATCTTGCAAACGATCCTGTGAACTGTACAGATTGAATGTGCACACTTTAATTTAGGGGGAATATGGCCATACAGTTGGAGCACACGGCACTTCCCTGTGGATGCAAATATAATATTATACATTGAGCTGTAAATTAGAGATGGGAGTGATTTCTTGAGTGTTTCTGTTATTGTATTAGATTTCCTTAATTATAGTGCTTGCAACTGATGTTCTAGAGAAGTGTAAGACAGAGCAGGTAAGCTTTCAAAGTTTTAATACTTAAAGAATATATTTTATATTCTTGACTCACATCTCCCACCACACTCACCTTTTTCTATTTGTTTTGCTTCAGTTAGTTAGAAATGAGTTTCTCAGTCTTGCAAACTAAATGGCTCTTATTCATATAAGTGCTTTTCCCATTGCATATGGCTGATTTCTATTAGAAATATGCTACAAGAACTGCTACTTAGAGGAACACCGAGTGAATCTTTTCTAAATGAAAGAATATTTTTTAAATATGAATTTATATATGCATACCATATTATATATTACGTATATCTATTTCTGTTTTATATATATGTATATGTTTATATATTTATATAAACCAAAAGAAGATTTTTCTTTGAAAACATCTGTATTTCAGTCCATTCAGGCTTCTATAACAAAATATCAGAGACTGGGTGACTTATAAGCAACAGAAATTTTTTTCTCACAGTTTGGGAGGCTAGAAGTCCAAAATCAAGGCACCAGCAGATTTGTGGTCTGGTGAGGCCCAATTTCCCTGGTTCACAGATGGAACCTTCTCTCTGTATCTTCACATGGTGGAAGGGGCAAGGGAGCTCTTGGGGGGTGTGTCTTTTATAAGGGTACTAATGCCATTTATGAGGGCTACATTCTCATGATCTCATCATCCCCAAATGTCCCCACCTGCCAACACTGTCACACTGGGGGTTGGGTTTCAACATAGGAATTTTGAGGCAGGGGACACAAACATTCAGGCCATAGAAATTTGAAAACATAATTCCAAATAGAGAACCTGATGAAATATAATTTATTTGTGATTCCTTCTATCTGATGGTATATGATATCTATAGGTCTTTTTAGGTGTTGAAACTAAATATTAAACTATTTCTATTAAAGAGAATTTATTTTTTAAATGTAACATTTATCCATGAACTTCATTTTAATTTAATATGTGAAGTGTTGCAAATATAATATTATACATTGAACTGAAAAACAGATAGTAAAGATTTTCTAAGTGTTTCTGTTGCATTAGAATTCTTTAATTACAGTGCTTGCAATTGATGTTCTAGGTAAGTGTAAGAGGAAGCAGGTAAGCTTTCAAAGTTTTCATGCCTAAATGATATATTTTATAGGCAACAGGTTCAGATCCTTGGTAGCCAGGTAGTGGGCTGGAACCCCAAATGCATTACCTAGGCCTAAATATTTTTCAAAATCCCAATCAAAGAAAATCTGTCTTCTCTGTCCTGTGTGCTTGGTCACAGTAACTGTATGCTTGACACGGCTGCTCATGGGCCACCAGTGGTATTCCTTTCGTCAGTAAGGAGTCCTTGCTGTCCTTCAAATAACTTTCTTACCCTAGAGAGGATTATTAGGGAAATAATATCAGTGTCAAATAATTTATGCTGTTGGGTGATAAACAGGTGGAAATCTTCAGTGCCTTATGCTTCATTAAATTCACCAAAATCCTCTA